CACGAAGCACGCTGTGGCTTTGGCTTAGCACAAAAATTTGGTGTCTATTACCGTCTACTTGTCTTTTAAAATTCATGGGTAGACTGGTACAATTAGAATCGACAAAAATATGTCTGGTTCACCCACTCCAAACCTCGCAAGCCACTGCTTTAGGATTACAGGGTAAGAGCAATCTAGGAATTAAGAATTATTTTTTCCAAAGCATTGCTTCTGCTATAACGCAGGGAAACTGACAATTTGACTGAGCCAGATGTAATCATCTCAATAAATGCTTGATTAAACATTTAGCGGTGATTATTGGAAAAAATCAATCAAATTTATTATTTATTTTAGTTTACCATGATTGTTTTTATAAAAGGCACAATGATTGACCTTTTTATATTTTTAATTAATTTTGCTATTTTGTATTTACATGGTTGTCCCCAAAATGTTTACTCATGGTCTGAAGTCGGTCGATCGTCCGTTATTTGCCACTGCGTGTCAATTCAATTGCATTCAATTCAATTGAATTCACGATTTAATTGTTTTTGCTTTATTTATTTAGCGGTTTATTTCGCTGTGATCAATTGCAACTGGTATAAAAGGCTCCTACATCAACAGCGGACTTTCGATACCGAACAATAATAATCATTATGACACAACCGCAAAACTCCAATGTCATCCAACAGAGACAGGTTCTTGTTATGGTCGACCAATCAGAAAAACCAGCGGGAAAGTGGTTTCCAATATAATTTTCAATTTAATAAGGAAAAAAATAAAACAAAATTATATTTTTGGGAAGCGAATCTCATTCTAAATGCATTCTGAACTACCTGAGAGAGAAAGAGTGAACGAAAATCTACAATTAGTGGTGAGTTAACTCATGCGTTCGAGGCACAGAGTATTCAATATTAGCACGAGGCACCTGCCAAAACACAACTCTTCGCAGCATATAGCCACCGAAATAAACTAAAGTGCTCGGCCGGAGGCCATTCTGCATCTGGTATTCGCATGGAGCAGCTGGTTTAGAATTTCGGTGTTTAGCTTTTAGCGCCTAAAACTATGCTTTAGTGGTCAAGTGGAACAAACAATATGAGAAGCAATAGAACGACATGGCCAACAGACGCTGGCAGCTGCAACAATAACAAACGAGTCAGTAGGCTATAGTCGAAACTTCGATAAGATACCCTGCATCTAGCTCTAAGTTTCCGTAGCATAATTCTATAAAAGCACGCACAGGAAAAAATGGGAAGCGTTAACGCAGAAATTAAGGAGCTTGGGATGCGTATGATTACCGAGAACCTGCGGTACATTTTTACATATTTAATATAAGCTTGTCAGTTTAGTCGGCATCATTCTTTATACTAAGGATTTAGGTGCAGGGTATAACAATTGGTCTTGCGCAGAACTCAAATCAAAAATGAGGCAACAAACAAGGCTCGTTGGCCCGTACCGGGACCGTTTACAGGGTTAGCAACAGAGCAGGCTGGTACGAAAACAAGCGGCCAGGCGGACTAATGGAGGGCTCACGTCTGGTCATTTGCAACGTAGTTCATGTGCTGGACAATGCTTTTTGCACTCAATGTTGAACGCATTTGTGTACATGTGTGGATGAGTCAGGAAATAGGAAAGAGTGTGCGTGTGCTGGTGTGGAATGCCAGACTGCACTAATATGAGCATGACTTAAACTTTAATATGAGATGAATAATAATAAAACTTATTATATTGAGTTGAGGTTTATAAACAAAAAATTAGTCAAACTTAAAAATTCTCAGTGTTCTCGCAATTGGCCTGTTTGCGGAATTAAAGTTAGAATTGGTACAAGAACTCCAGAAAACGAATACATTTTATTCAATAAACTCTGTTCTCTTGTTCCCAAATTTAAAATTACTTAAATGCAAATTATAAAATATCCCCATTCAGGTAAATTTCAAATGAAGGCAAGAAAATGTTATCGCCGCCCAAAAAGTTGTCAAGCAAAGGCCTTATATTGCAAATACTCGTATGCCATCGACTCTGACTTTACACCTGTCATCTCACAGCTTAGTTGCCCTTTCAAATTATTGGTTACAATTCACTTAGCTAGTAAAACTGGCTATAACTTTAATTTTACTCCATTGAGGTTTTTTAGCACTCATAAAAAGATAATTTAGCACTAATTGACTTGGTCTCGTCAGACATGTAATTTGAAGAACAAAGTCAGAAAACGAAAGTCAAAGCCTACGTTAATGTAGAATGCAGGAAGGCCAATTTTAAAAGCCATATGAGACACGTGCTCGACCGCCGTTGGCCAGCAGCGTTCCATTTCCGGTTTGTCTGCTGGCGTGTTAATTGAATTTTCGTGTTGCAGACGCGTCGGCCGGCTGTGTGCAGAAGAGTTTTGTTTTTGGGGGTCAGCTGGCAAACAACATAGTAAAAGCCAATTGAGAGCTAGCAAAGCGACAGTCACTGACTGAAGTGACTTCCGCTTATTCGGCATTTGTATGGTCGGTCGGTCAAAGAGGGGCGGTCTGCCAAGCCGAAGACCCATATACTCGGTTTAGCAGACTGTGATTGCCTATGCCTTATGCTCTGTTTTGTCTGCAGCTGAGCTCATTGCATTTGGATTTGTGCACTGCCTACCAGCTGCTGTCTCTTCCGGCCATTGGCCTGGGACTTGGTATGCGACATCACTCTTACGATGCCTCGTTCTCGTAATTACCTTCCAAATAGCGTCAATCTGGGAACTAATGAAAGCCTTAAGTGTATGCGTAATGGTGTAATAATACCTCTAAGGCAGATGTCTATGTCACCAGCTTTCAGCAACAATGTACGCATCATCACAAGGCTATGGCCTGTTTCGTTGGCTTGCTTCATAATTTGAGCTGTGCGTTGATGCATGTCCTTGTCTGCCTATCCGTGTCATAAGCTGCAACTGCATAGTTTGTTTCGTAACCCAATGACCTCACTGACTAGACCTGGTCAAGTTTGCAAGCTGACAAACTTATTTAGTAAATAGTGCAGCAAAGGGTTGAATTTCACTCTTAAGCTAGCAATCTGGTATTAAGTGTCAAATTTATATAACATAAACATTGTATTCAAAAATCAATCTGAGGAGCGGCCATATAAAATGTTAGCAATTCTCGTGTTATTATACTCCTAGTTTCAATTAAGCTTTTCATTTCTGTTGCTTTAATGATTTTTTTTAAATGTGGCGCACACATTTGCACATGTACTAGCATTAATCTGATAAATTCAATTGAAATTTCCTCATTGATGTTAAATTGAAATAGCTTTTAATACCCGTATAATAAATAAATCACCAGATGAAAGATAAGTATGTAAGTACATTTATGTGCACTATCCTCTTTCAGCAAATGCCTGGCAAGTGACTTCAATTAGGAATTTATTGCTTTTCAATGTTTAAATATACCAGCCGTGGCTATTGTGGATCGGCTACACTTTGTCTCTGAAGCTCTCGTTTTGTTGCAATTTGTTTTTGTTTCCGTTTTTTTGCCAGCGACTTTTGATATCACATACGCCACTTACAGACCCTGTCGGGATACGCACACAATGTCTCACTGATTGTCTGGCGTTGCCGACCGTTAGTAATACTGCCATGCTCGTCTTTCAGTTATGTCACAGCAAAGCCATCTCTTCGCCAATAGCGACCATTCATTTCGCCTGTCCTTTGCACATAGACAGAAGGGAAACAATGCGCAGCTCACCTTCGGCGTGGTACAAGTCTTTAAAAGTTAAATACCCAACTTGCTGGTAACACGGTGACTGTTACCAGTTTCTCAAAAAATTGTTTACTGCTAATGAGTGTGAATTTGGGGCCAACGACGATGATCGAAGGCGATAATATTCCGTTCACGTATCATAAAATATATACGTAGATAAAACGCGAAAAGCTTGTGACGGAAGCCTGTGCGTTACGCAACCGCAGACCTACATTCATTCCACTGTCTGCCTGTTTAGCTGTCGATCTGGCTTTCCGGTAATACCGCAGAAAATTATGTTAATCAGCTGAAAAGCCCAAATCCGATATACCAACGCTTTATGTACCGCAGGTAGCGTGCATTGCCGCTGTCATTTTATGTTAATCATACGCCACGTTGGGCGATAATAACGCGCCAAACAAGCAAACAAAATGAAATACGCGTGTCGCATGCGTAATAAATTTTATCAGTACCGTTAAGGCCGTGTTGGAATAGATATCAACCAAAAACTTGGTGTGGAGTTGAGTTCTGTTTAGAATTTGAATTGGCTTCAGAGTTGCAATTGGCAGTTCGAATGGCTTTTGCTTTGGCTTTTGCTAAAGAAGCGCAAAAGCCATTCATTGATTAGTGCCAACTTGAATTAATATTTGAGGTGCGTAGATATCTGGGCAACTTGATGGCTTGTGCAATTTCTTGTGACATCAAATTGTATTATATTTTATTTTTGCTTGTATTTTTATTTCTTGAAGATTTTAATTGCAAGCTCCGTGCATAGATGCAACATACACTGCATATATAGACAATTTGAAAGCAACATAAATTTACGTAAACTAAATCCCGGAAGTCGCATGTCACACATACTTAAACATTATGTAAATTTATATACCCACGGATACTCACACATGCTAAAGCAATGACTATGAAAATGGAAGCGACAGAGCGTTACTTAAGACGGAAGCCGACAGCAGGCACACATTTGAGTAACAAGTACGAGCCTCGAGTCTATGCGTGTACAAATGTGGAAGAAGGGCAATTCAGCTTAGCGACAGTCATGGGAATTTCAAGCACATTTCGCTAATTCTCAGCCCCCAGATACACTCATCCAGATGAAGATGCTGCGCATATTGCGAGTAGGAAATGGGTATGCGGATAACAAGAAGCTGCCACTGGCCCGGCGATCAGTTGTCACAGATATTCATTGCAGCAGCTGGGACCATACCCAGCGCATATAAATATTCGCTCTTGGTGACATTTGGCTGATAAATCTCTGACGGATTTAGCGGAAACAATGGCAGTGTGTGATGCTGAATCTAGACTTACCTTGCTTAGCCTTTGTTCACCTGTCTGGATGAGCATTCGCATGTGAATCGTAAGCAGCTGCCGTTAAGTGCCCTTGATCATTAGCCATATACCTTAAGAAAAAAGTAATGGGATTAAAGACGTTAAATTCCAACCAAAACTAGGTGCTAGAGAAGGCCTTAGCAAAAGAAAACTCGGTAAATTACTTAAAAGAGTTTTAATGTAAGGGTTTTGTGTATCCACTGGTCAATTTGCCAACTACTGAAATTAATAATAAATAAGGGTTTACAAAAAAGGTCAGCTGCTGTGTTTCTTCTATGAGCTGCCATTTTTTAAATTAATGAAACTTTTCAAAGGTAACTGTTTTGTTTGATCATGCAATGTTCATACAGTCAATACATATAAAATCATTTAATATTAAGAAACTTTTGTAATTTCCTAGCACAGAGTTGGCGGCAGGCATCCAATAAATGTAATAATCAGAAGAGACCATGTGTCTACTTTTGAAGGACCCTAGTCTATTTTGAATAGGTTCAGATGTGTAAATAAACCCAACACTATTTCAATTGAAAACAGGTGAGCAACTCATTGACCCAATGGCGCATTGGTCGCCCATTTTTTAACTCAGACCAAAGTACCTTGAGTTGAGCTCTGTCAAGTGGACCATGTGCCAGCACTAACCCAGTTCTTTGACAGGCGACGTCCAGTAGGTCAAATGTTGCTTACACGCACGTGAGCTTATTTGTGAACTATGCCGTAGTGGAAAAGGGAGAGTCCTGCAAATGCCCAGTGAAGCATGATAATATTTTAGTCGCTATTGCATTCGAAATTGATGAATTCTTAGAGTAGTCTTTTCCTCAGTTTGCCATAAGAGGACAGTTTAACAAAGTTTTTAACTTTATTCTGCGTAAGCCAAAACAAAACAAAAAATGAAATTGTCAGGAATGCATAGTTTTAAATATTTTCTATTAGTGGACAATTTTCATAGCGACAGGACAAAAGAGGGAAAGCTCATGAGATTAAGTTCGCTTGTTAAGTAATTGCATATTTATCAGTAATTTGATTGGAATTGTCGTAGGCTTAGCACAACCAGACTCCTCTGTCCTCAGTCGTCTGAGCTATTTTATGTGAATCATTGGATATAAGCTTGTTAACAACCAACAGCGGTCATTTCCACATGAAAATTAATATTCTCAACTTCTCTCATACTTAAGCGCACAAGGATATACACATCAGCTTCACTGAATAAGGATAACTCTAACCACCCCGTGACGTCACTTGCCAGCGTCTTATCGAAGTGCTTCATCAATGTACAACACGGCGTATGCGTGCTACACAGCCGTATAATTTGCCATGACATGCCATTAAAACATATTTTAATGCACTTCAACCTCCACTACAGGCCCTTCACACAGCGACCTTCGGAATTATGTGCGTAGAGTGGAAATCGGTGCAGCGTGCTCATTAGTCGATTTGCATTTCAATTAATTTAGCTTAATTGGATTAATGAGATACTTGCTTTTTGGGGGCAGATTTACTATCCATCGTTGTTATTGCTGTTATTTTATTAAAATTTGCATATATCAATTTCATAGACATGTGTTCGCATTTAATTGGAAAGGTTTGCTTATTTGCCGATAAGGGTTCGCTCTAATTGAACAAATACGCAAATTAGCCCAGTAGGGGACATGGATGCGGGTCGACTAGTGGCTGCAAATTAAACTACGTGTGGTTGGAAAGCCGTAGCATTTTTGCCTTCATGGTGATAAGTGGGTGGTATATAGGGTTGTTTATTAATTAGTTACGCAACGATGAAAACTTCCTAATTCAAAACTTAGACTCAAACAACAGTTGAACAAGTGCTTTTATCAACAGAAAACAGTGCAAGGAACCCACCCAAGACTTATTCGTACAGAAGTCGTAGTTTTTAGTGAAGCACTCACAGACATTTCAATTTATTGCAGTTCTTGTTGCAATAAAGCCTTCAGCGAAAAAATGCATCCGTTGTCAAGTGGCTAAACGAAAGTCTAAGGAGCTCTGCTTTCTGCGAACTTTTCAAAAATAATAAACTAGCAAAGTAAGATGACATCAGAAAAACATTTTACAATTACATATCGTCTTTGCGCAGTAGGATGTTAATGTTAGAAAGCTTGTGCATCGCAAATCTTTTTTCGACTAAAGTCTATTCAATTGTGAATGAATTTTTGTTTTACAGAGCTAGCACTTCCGCTGTGCCTTTCATCATGGCATCGATATAAGCACACACACGTATACACACATATGTACATATAAGAACATACATATATATTTTCGACATACAACTTCAGCTTGTTTGGTGTTTAACAATCTTAAAATTTGTTTGGCTATAAACATTATTGAATAAAAAACACATTATTAATGTGTGTGTTTTAACTTTTATAGGGTCTTTGAAGTTGGTTACACTTGCGAAACATGCTGGTATTTCCGTTTTAAGGATTTTTTGTTTCATAGCACTGCCTTCCGCTGCTACGCATACAAGATTCTGACAAACGTATACTTGTGCTGTATAAGAAAATTAGAGAGCGTATTTACATTGCAATAGTAAGAATATACTGTCAAGGTAAATTGCTAAAATCACATAAGTACAGTAGCTCATTCTTTTAATTCGTGTCGCAAAACAAATTTGTCTAGATTCGAGTACATTTGCTCTTTTTTAGAGTGATTTCGGTAACACTTGTATTATTATAAAAACCGTTGATGTATCAAAAACCCCCAACTTCTACACCGAAACGCTGGTTAGGTCCAATTTGGGCTGTTGCCAGTGCGAAAAGCCGTTAAATGGCCAACAAGCAGCTTAAACTTCAACTTTCAACAGATAAGCGCATGAAAATAAAATGCTTCCCATGAGAAATGCGGCATAGAAAAGGTTTCTTGCGCAACATCCAACTGCCGAATGGCTGATAACTTCAATAGTTCTAATGAGGAAGCAAAAAGCGACATTGGAATATTTAGAGGACAAACACTCAGTGCCTTTTCGTTGTTTTTGATGGTGTTGATAATGTAAGCGCTGGCATGGTAAAAAGTACATAGAAGCAACGTTTCATTAGAAGACAAAGTTTTTGGGACAGTCACGACTGTTTTTGGGGCGATGGTAGAGTTTGTTTTGGGCATGTTTACGGATTATAAATACTTTTTAATTAGTTTCGCACACACAAAGTAAAAATATTTAATTAGAGCACAGCCATTTACCCCTTGGACTGTGGGTCATATATTCGAGAGCTACGCTGCAGTTAAGCAGCATATAAATCAGTGCACAAATGTGAGCCACAGCAAGACTCTTCAATATGCGTCAATGCGGGAGTAGTCTCTCAATAAATTGCATAGAAACACAACCCAACTTTTAGCGGGAAGCCAAAAACTTTTTCAATTTGATAGCAAGCACAAAAAGGGATCTGCACTTCAGTTCTCAATGGCAAGATACCCTATACACAGGAATGCATGCACACATGTAAAGACGCAGTGCCTCAACGGGTATTATAATTATACAAAAAAGGATTTTTGTAAGATAACTTCGAAACAATATATTGCACACTGGAATAGTTAGTCCTTATACACCTTTTTTATAGGGTATAGGGCGCATGAAAGCAACCAACATTAACCATCAAAAAGCAATAGCTTCCATGTGTGTGCTTCAGTGTGTGAAAGTGCGCTTTAATTTGCTGGTAAATTGCGCTCAAAATCCAAATGCTATCCAGACAAATACACAGCCATAAATTGGCCGAGCTAACGCGGCGTATGTAGGGAGCCCCAGCCGCCCCTTGCAAAGTTAGCTAAAATATTTTTTGCATCCTCTTTTTGGCCTTTTTTGAATTATCCTCGTCAGAATTTTGCCCACTATTGCCCCTAAGTGGTCTCGCCTTCCAGCCGGACTGCCTACAGTTCTTTTTAACTTGTTGGTTTATAGCCATATGTGCATGCATATTCCTAATTGTCCGTTGGTAAATTACTCAGACTCGACGCGAATCCACACTTAAAATAGATTCACTAAATGCGGATCGTCTGCGGTAAAATAATAATTTTGAGCAGATGCTGATATATCTGTTCCATATAAGGCTAAGGAGATTTAAAGAAGTTATATTTTAAAGTTTTACCAGGCATGAATTATTACAACAAGTTCCTGGGCGTGGCTATAAATTTGTATTATGTGCCCAGAGAACATTAAAACAGACATTACACAAAGCTCAATTGAAACTCCGGCTGTCGGCTCCTGGCGAGCCTTGCTTATGACAAAAAGACCTCATATTCACATAAAATTAAGTATGGTTCTACTTTGTAATATACTACAAAATACAGATTTAACAACATTTTAGACTTGATTGTTAGACAGCTTATTCTTAAAGAACTTGTTTGAAAATTATTTGCAGCTTAAACGGTACCAAGTGACGCCCCACGCCCCCATTTTATATAAGTATATTTGCAATTTGCTGTGCATGCGTTTAATGAGCTGCAGAGGGGCAGTGGCTCTGACATTTTGCGGGCAGGTTGGTAAATGGCAAAAGTACATACAAACGATAACGGAAGCGAGGGGCACTTGAGGAGACCAGAGCGAGAAGAACAATGTACAGATAAGCGAGGGACAACTCTCAAGACGGCCGCACCGAGGGAGCCGGAAAATGGGTAAGCGAAACCAACAAATATGCCAGCGAAAATGCGAGGAAAGTGTGTAAATGACACTGAGCAATTTTCAATAATTGCAAGCAGTGTCAGAAAGTAGAAAGGGCAATGAGAGCGTCTATCCTTAAAGTATTTAAACGCTCAGTTCATAAAAATAGGCAGAATAAAGTTTAATAGTCAGCAGACGGGGAGACGGCGAAGATTGGTGGAAATCTTATTAAAACTTACAGCTGCAATAAATAAAATAAATTTATTCCATTATGTTAACCAAACACGATTTACAGATTATAAAGATGATTTATAATCAGAACCAAACACCGTAATCCACTTGTATAAACAGGCAAAGGCAGCCCCAGTGGTGACGACAACAACTAGGAACAAACATGAAGAATATCGAAACCACAAGTCCGCCTGGTCGAGCCAGTAAATCTCGCCAGACGAGCTGCAGTCAGCCGCACCT